ATGGGTAAAAGTAAAGAGCTCTCTCAAGACCTTCACAACCTTATTGTTGCAAAGCATAATGATGGCATCGGTTACAGAAGAATGTCTAAACTTCCACACACAGCGAGGGATATGCTTGAGAAAAGGCACCAGCAGCTAATTCATGTTATTTATTTGTTTAAAATGATTTTTTTGTCTGAGGCCAGTTATTAAAAGAGCTACAGCTGGTTTATTCCTATTCAGATGATTGTCACGTCTTTTTTTCTAGAACCACCGTTAAAAAAACAAAAGTTTCTCCAACAATCCACCCATAATTCTTGTTGTTTATATACTTATTTTAGCTTTGAGAGGGTAGAGGGAGGCATTATAATAATTTATGACATGCTGAATCTTCATCCATCAACCCGCTATCTCACGTCACGTTGTATTAAAGCAACACACAGCACAGTTTAAATTCAGGCTCTTATTTTGAAATGACGGGTTCCACTTTGTCTTTTACCCAGAATGCATCGCTTCAGCGCTCCAAGAAACAGTTTAAAGTGGAACTTACCCCCCCTGTGAAAGGATAACTCCGCCCCCAACGCAAATTTGAAAAATGCATAAATTGGAGACTCTGAGGGGGGTGAGCGAGGAGGTGTGGCCAGGAGGAGAGAAAGTTTATTTATTAAGACGAGACAACGTGACAGCTAGCTTTAGTTTACTTTGACAAGCTAACATTCATGAAAACATTTCTGAACGTTCTAAATAAATGACTTTGTAAAAAGTAAAGTTTCATGATCTACATGCAAACTCACATTTAGCTGATACAACATGTAATAATGTAAAGTTCAGGCAAAAAAAACTGTTAAAATATGACTTTGGTCCAAAACAGAACAGAAAGAATATCTTTTCATTTCTGTTTGGTTTCCTGTTTCTATTAAAATTCACAACACAGTTCAGTCTGAGCCTGACAAGTGTTCTGTCCCCCGGATCATTCCGGACCCTGCAGCCGATTACACACCACTCCACCCCGGACAGAAGCGTCAACCCACCCCGGTAGAAGAGGTGTTCGGGCGGCCTGATGTGAAAACCCCTCCGCTGCTGCAGCGCGAGGCATCATGAAACAAACTGAATTAACTTCTCTTTGTGGTTAAATATTTTAAACAGATAAAAGGTTGCTGTTTAGATCAGGAGAGACCGTAGAGTTTAGATCAGGACTAAAANGTTGACAACATTTTTTGACATTTTAATTTACACTTGGCTCCCCATAGATTTTACATTGGACTAATTCTGTGCCATAATAAATATAAATTAGTTTTTCTCGATTGAAACAAAGTAAAACAGGTGAGTTTTTACTTACCTGGTGTAATTGTATAGCACACAAAAGGCTGGGAGGTGTTGCAGTGAATCTCAAACCAGGTGTCACCCATCTGGGCGACGCATAACTCCCACGAATTCCTGGAATCATAAGGGCCATTGTTGTTCCAGTTGCTGGTGTAGCTTAGCGGTCCAAACCCGTCCAGTGCCGACCAGCTCCACTTCGACGAATCATCATACAGGCCCACCCAAACCGTTCCAATGAAGCTGCCAGCRTCTGCAATCATCTGAGCCATGTCGTCCATGTTGTCCACCGTGGCCAGGTCGGTGTATATGTCTTGGCAGTACGTTTGAGCCTGTAACCAAGTCATCTGCTGGTTGACGACGAAGTACTGACGAAGACATGAACAGTCTCCTGAAAACAAATCATTTCTSTTTTTTAAAGTTAGGGAAGAAAACAGTATTTAAAACACTGGACTTGAAAACCTTTGGGATATACTTATTGCGGGTGGGAAAAAAAGCCATTACCAAAAACGAATGGTACAGAGAGAACTAGCCATCTGAGGTCTGTCAACATTTGGAGCAGGTTTAAATAAAATGATGTAAACAAAATGTTCAGGCTAAAAAAAYACCAGATACTGGTTTGTAAAGTAGGTTTTGCACAGGAATCATCACATAAAATGAACAAAAGAAGAACTATATTTTATTATTGGTTTAAATTTAGAGAGCAAAACTACCACGTGTTTTTTCATCTGTTCAAATTACCTTAAATAACCTTTTAACTATACAATGTTGAGATTTTGGTAAATAAATTCCTACAGTCTAACGTAATAAACTTGACAAAAAAGCTTTTTTGAACAGCTGAACAAATCCGTTTAAAAAAAATAAAATAAATAAATAAATAACACAGTACATTATTTAAAGTAAACGTGAGATAAAAAATTTAAGTTAAGTAAAGCAGACACTGACTTACCCAATAAAAAGAAAATGCACAACAAAGCTCTTCTGAAGCCTGAAGAGGAGAAAATGAACAATTAGTGGGTTTTTCTCATTTAATTCAAATCTCTTTAAATATCTTTATGAATCCCTTTTTTGTTTGGTTGTATTACATGCACCAAAAAAGAAAAWAATAATTATCTTAATTTGTAAATAAATCACATACCTGTACATGCTGAACCACAGATGAGGGACATGTGTCCTGATTTTATCCTTTCTTATTTAGGAAAAGTTGCTGTTGCRCCTTAGCTTCCCTCTACTCCTTTGGTTTTCTTTCTTGGCTGAGTTTCTTTAAGTAAATCCAATTTTTTTAATATGCAAATCACTAAATGCAGTCAGATAATGTTTTGCATCACCCACCAGAGCATGGAGGAGAAAAGCAACAGTTAGTGAGGTCTACATTAACCGAAGCCTGAGGGCTAGAATGATTAGAATTGATGATTTTATGAATTATATTTTAATTGCTGGAGCTGTGGAAACTTCTGCTGATAAAATAATGTAATGACAGATTTTAGTTTCTTTACTGTCTGCTGTAATGTAAACCAGATGTAAAAACATACAGACTTTCTGGATGCAAACAAATTGTTATTCTGAGATGATTCTTACCTGTGTGTAAAGACAGTGTTGGGACAATCACTTTGAAAATGCAGTTGAAATTACAAAGTATTCATTTGAAATGTAAAAGCAGTGTAACTATTTTATTTAGATGTCCAGATGCATTTCAATAATCCAGGTAGAAAAATCTAAAAATTAAGTTTACACGGTCCTCTGGAGGAGCCAGGGAGAAGGGGAAATCAAACACAAGTCAGGCTCTGGAGTAATATGGTTATCCTAACTGGGCTTTCCACAAAGCAGACAAGAAACCCAAACAGGACTCCAGCCAGCCACTGGGTGAAAAAAGAAGACCCTAAACTCAGACCAGTGGTCATTGTTTATGTTGCAGGAGTTTCAGAGAAACTGAGACATTCACTAAACATGACGTCTCAGTGTCTTTCAAACCTCAAAACACATTAAAGAAGACTGGTTCACCCCAAAGAGCCAGTTCCCTGGCATAAGCAGAGTAATATTGTGTATGCTGTTATTTGTCAGGAGGACCGTGATCAGTTACTGTATATATCAGGGAAACAAAACAGCCACTGTTTAAAAGGATGGCCCAGCACAGAAGAGATACATCACCAGGCCAGGATTACAGTCTACACTCATCTACAGGCCAGGGGCCTCATGCATAAAGGACTGCGCTTCTTTCACACTAAAAGTTGGCATATGGACAAATTTAGAAAAGTGCACCGCACAAAAAAATGCAGATGTATAAAACTGTGCGCATGCATGTTTTTGCGCGCCTTTCCTTTATACATCCCAATGAATGTGGAACTGAGCGCACCTTAGACACCCCACCCCCGACACGCTTCCATTTAAATATGTAAAATAGATGTAAATGTGTCCAGTGTGTGAGATTCTCCTCCGATTCCTCTCTGTGGGAT